AAAAAAAAAAAAAAAAAAAAAAAAAAAAAAAAAAAAAAAAAAAAAAAAAAAAAAAAAGGCCCAAAAGAAAATTTAGCTCCAATAAAATAATAAATAATCCCATTAATATATATATATATATATATATATATATACACTTTTTATTTTTATTTTTAACTCGAGAACATTAAAATCATTTTTAAAATAATATTTAAAATTGAAGAATTTGTCATTATTTACAATATCATTTGATGTAACAATTAAGGGGTAAAAAATTGATTTTGTGAATTTTATTTTAAAAAATGATTAAAATATTTTTATTAAAACTAACTTCTAGTAATATGCCTTAATTATTTACTTTTAATTAATTAATTAAGTTAGGTTGACGAGAGCATATTTTGAAAAGTTTAAAGAGGAGAATCAATATTAAGGGATAAACTTTGGGTATCAATAATATGCTTTTGTGCCATATTTTTATAATATGGATTTTACAAATTACAATATATTATATTATGTGAGTTATTGTTAATATCCATAATAATAATAATAAAATGAAAGTATTATCTAGAACGTATTAGAACATATTGATTCAACTAAGTATATCTCAACTAGTAATTAAAGCATTAGTAAGGCGATCGATTCAGTTCGGCGCCACAATATTTGAGTTTTAATAGTAATACTAAAGATAAAAGGGTGGCTAAGCTTCAGCTGATTTTAAGCTCTTTGGTGGGAAGTTTCCAGTAACAGGGAGATGGTAAAATTATAAGACAATCTCAGATCAACAGATGTTAGTAACGCATACATCGAGTTCAGCTCCATAACTTGTACTTGTGAATTGCTGTGTGCAATGCTTTACCTTCCAGTTCATGAGGGTTTCAAGTCAAAGAGGCAAAGTTTTGATAAGAGGCCTGAACTCTCTCTATTCTGAATCGCTGAGAATCCGATGGATTGTTATTCACATGCTGGTTTGGTGTCGAAGCTACTCAAGCAGATTGCGAAAGCTTGGAAGGCGGAGAGCGGGTAGCGATAATCCATTGTGAAGATGTCCTTTCCAATTTTCCCAAACTGCAATATTATCTTCTCTTGTTCTTCAACCGACACGTTGAGGGCGGGATCTACATCGACCACGAGTTGAAAGTTTTTTACAGAAGCCACTGTCACACGTCCTCTGAAGTTCAAGCACCAGCATCGAAGCTGTTCGTGCCATCTAGGAGCCTTGTTCTTAAGAACCAAGGATTCTCCCAAATCTTGAATCTGTGCACCTTGGATGCATGTGGAACTTGCATCTGTCTCTGGCTCCTTTCCTTTAGAAGCTGGTAGAGGAGAGCATTGGTTATCGACACAGGCCGTGAATGATGTCGGTGTCGGTGCATTTCCTCCCTGTTGAATGCAAGATACAGGGATTGAGTGTATGGCACAGTGCATTCTTCTGGGCCCTCTAGTGCGTAGAACATTAAGCTCATAAGAGATTGCCCCTATAGTGTAGTTACAAGCTGACATTCTTGGAGAGACTTGCTTATTAGCATGAATTGAACGGATTGATTGATTATTCTGTTGAGTATCATACATGGTGAACTTTGTGCCAAAGAAGTTGGACCTGCAATATTTTGTCAAATGAAATGTCGAGACATCAATACGAGGTTATCGGATAAACAACAATAGTCGATCAAGAACGAAACGCTTGCCTTAATTTGCCTACATAGGTACTGCGGATCCAGGAAAAATCATCAGCAACCAGTGATATAACAAAATCTGTACCTGTAGCCCTTCTTACTCTCTTAGCTGCTAATAACAGTTTATCACTTTCATTCTCCGCTGTCAATTCAATAATATTATCATTTTTAAGTGAAAACCACATAGAACATCAATGATAGTTCGTTAATGCATTAGAAATTAAAACTGTCTTTTCCCATAAGCTGGGAGATTAAACTGGAAAGTGTAGAACTCAGAACTCAGAAGGATGCATTTATAAAATGGAAATCATATTCAAATATCAACAAGATGATCAAACAAGGTGTGGTATATCAAACATGGACCATCTCATGAGCCTAACCTTGTTCTTTTCAAAGTTATTAGGAATAAGAATACAAGTAGAAAAAGGGAACGTCACCTACAAGGCACCAATCCGGAGTATAGACGATAGGTCGAAGTTGCTCGGTGCCTTCTAACATAGCATTGAATTGGGGAGTCTCGAGGTCCCGGCTTCGCAAGAGAAACAATGGCAAGTGTAAGTTGAAGCATAAACTTATCAAAGGAGATCAATGAAAGTAAGCCCTTTACCTGTTTCAGTGAAATGGGAAACGTGAGCCTCCCACACTGCTCAGGAGTTTTGACAACTTCCTTCGTAATGTTTCTCCATGACTTGCACACTGAAGCACAAAACAGGACAGCAGTCCTAGCAGGCCACGAGGTTTCACTCTCTTCTACTCTTCGGATTATGTCCAAAAGCAACTCAGGAGGCAAATTTGCCCACTGGCCTTGCTGAACTGCTTCTGGCTGAGGAGGCACTTCATCAGGTGCAATATGTGACCTGGTTCGACTTCGCCAGTTCCTTCCTTCTCCCCCTCGCTTCGGTTTCATCGAAAGACCGTCTTTGATTTCCCATAGCTCGCGAAAAAAGCTTTTGAAGGACATAATTGTGTGGCATAGCAACCCTTTCTGCAGAAATTCAACCCCAACTCACTCAAATAAACAAGCTAGTAAGCAGGAAGCACAGGGAGATTGATTGATCTAAAAACCAACCACACAGATTAGATGCTTTGAGTCATAATATAAAATTATATTGGCAGTGTTGGTAAAGAATCATTTTCAGAGTATGATATTATATTGCAGCAGATACTTCGAATCCTTTCTTTCTGCTGAGTAAGAAACCAATAAACAGATCAACATTCCATCATCCTTGTCAAAATAAAAAATTAGAGGCACACATATGTCATCAGCTACCACAAAACTTTAAACAAACAAAAAAGAAGAAGAAGAAGACGAAGATTGACGAAAAATCAGTACCAAAATTCCCTATCTAAAACGTCAAGAGTAATCTCACATGGAACCCTAACATTCCCACAATTCCTGGTTCCATTACTGAAGTCCAGAAACAACCGAATAGATCATTCACAAAACCTGAAAAGAATATTTTCGAAAACTAAGCATCATAACTTTGCAACGTAACTAGTTAGTAGACAGGCATGGGGGAAAAGAAAGAATCAGGAATGTTGAAACGGAAAAGCCCTAATGTAGAACACGCTTCAGAATCCAAAGAAACAGAAACAGAAAACACAAACAATAACTTAATGCAGTGAGATTGATAAGAGGAATCAACCTGTTCAAGAATGGTAAAGATCACGAACATCAAGGAGATAGAGAACAAGCTTAAATCCAACACCAGTGAAGAACCATCGCAAAAACCAGAATCCCGAGACGACGTCAAATCAAATTAAGAAAACGATTCGAAACTCAACGCTACTCCTCGAATCGAATGGACGATTTAAGCAATGCGTAAACTTGAATACGGCGATTCCACCATCAAGAAACTAAAAGCGAAAAACATCAGAAACCAGAGCTTCGTTCGGCTTCAAAGCCATTTTTTGTTGGCTCTAAAACATTAGTTATATAAAAATCTCAATCAACATTCAACAGTGAGAAGATGAAGCTTGACGTAAAATCAATTTGGGAGCGAATCTAGGGCGTGATCGATCACTCTCACGACCTCAAGGACACTGCTTTTCGGACACGTGTTTCTCACGTTTGGGATTTTCTGATTATCATTATTCATTAATCTCTTTTTTTTTTCTCTTTTGAGAGAGAGGTGGTGAGAAAATCAATCCGATTTGGAGGACAGCAAGGATCACCAATGCCACGTCACACGCTGCCTATTCACTATATTTGATAACGTTCATACCCATACTATTTGTTTGTACAGAATGGATTATTCCATTTGAACCTTCATTATTTTAGGGGAATAATGTCATTTATTATTATTATTATATATTTGTTATTTTAATCGAGTTGTCGTAGGCCCCAAGTGAAGATGCTCTTTGAAGTTCCACGTAGCCGTAGATAAATCTAACCGCATCAGAGTCCTCCTAATAGAACAAGTAATAGGTAAATAAATAGGGTATTTCTAGAAATAGTACTCATATCGACACGATGTCTGTTCTAGTTATTTTTTGAAATAATGAATGTCCATTAACCAACTTTTATATATATTTTTTGAATATAGTTTAACTAATTTTTATTAACCACCCATCTTCTAATTTTTATTAAAAAATTGAAATGAGATTTTTAAGCAAATTTTAAAATGCTAAGGGTGAAATTAAAAGATTTTTAGTTTGAAAATTTTGATCGAACTAATAATTTAGTCAGTAAATTTTAGTGGATAACACTTTAGTCTATGCATTTTAATCCTGGTTCAACGTCGGACCAAATAATACTTTAAAAAAGGAACCAAATAATACTTTAAAAAAGGAAATAGGTTGAAGGTCAGACCAAATTGATTCATTTTCCTAATTTTGATTTAAAATGAATGTTAATTGTTGGTATTTAAGAAAGAAAAAACTTTAAAATTTTATTAAAATATTTTTGGCTAATAGTATCTAAGCTACTATATTGTGAAAATATAAATATACAATATGGTCTAGCGTTTACTTGATTCCAAGGCAACGCAGCAAAAGGGTTGAGCAGTAAGAAAAGTATATTTTACAAAAATATAAAAATAAAAA